AAAACACAGGGAAAGTGTATGGGGAGAGTAGAAAGAGAAACAGAAGTGATGGTTTGATTAAGCTAGCCATTAATTTAGTTGAATATGAAGTGTAAATAACTGTCCCAGGATTGAGCCTCTATTTTATTAATTTGAATGTATTGATTAATTAATTAAATAACACAAACAGACTGATAATGTGACACTTTACACTCTTGTGTCCACAGCATACATTTTGGCAGTCTCTGTCCGAGGGGCCCCATAAGACTTGGCCAAGGAAACACCTGTCGTTGAATAGGGTTTCCTCATGGAATAAGGATAGTTTCTCTCAGGCCCAACATCTGTTTGAAAATGTAGAAATAAAACAGTAAGTGTGATTCGGTAAACTTTGGAAAAAGAAAAAATGATGTCATTTTATGGTTGTTCCTACCACCCCCTGCTCCCACCCCCTCTCCTCACCCCCAAAGGAACAAGAATCATACTTCTTAGTAGGAATCATCTAGGAATCCTAGGAAAAATCCAAGGGGGAAATATAACATTTTCATCCTGAAAGTTATTTTTAAATTTAAAATTAAGCTGAGGAATTTACTTTTTTTTTCTGATGATGAAAGGAATTTTCTGTTTGAATACTGTGTTTTTTAGAAACCAAATGTACCACATCAATTTCTTTAACAATTATTTTGCTGCCTCTCAGTTCACTTTAGTATTGAAGAACATATACTCTATATTTTTGTGTTTGAGCAATAAAGCTTATGTATTGCAAGTCAATTGTCATTGAACACATGGAATTTTTAATGGTAATAGGTAAGAGTGTAAATAAGTACCATTATAAGTAAATGAGATGTATTTCTCTGGGGTTGGAAGAATGATAGTGGAGGCAAGGAAGTGTGCTATTTTATTTACCTTTAAAGAGGTATAGGCAGCAGGTGAGTACAGCTCCAGCTAAAAAGCAGCCCAGAGACCCAGCCATTCCAAGCCAACAGGACCAACCAAATTTATATTGGATACCAAGGAATATATTGTGCAAAATCAGAGAAGAACGTTCCACATAAACATCAACAGCATACCACACAGAGCCAATGATTCCTGGAGCACCTGAATGAAAGAGAATTGTAAAATAATATGGAGCATGTTGCAAGTATGTCATTAAGAGTGTTCTCTTTCTTCCCTAACCCATGACTGAAGCCATACCAGCTACATAGTCAGCACCAAATGCCAACTGTGTTTAATATTTTTTTGGGGGAGAGTGGTACCAGGGATTAAACTCAGGAATACTTGGCCACTGAACCACATCCCCAGTTCCTATTTTGTATTTTATTTAGAGACATGGTCTCACTGAGTTGCTCAGCGGTTTGCTTTCTTTGCTGAGGCTGGCTTTGAACTTGCGATCCTCCTGCCTCAGCCTCCTGAAACGATAGGATTACAGGAATGCGCCACCGCACCAGGCAATGCCAACTGTATATGAAGTCATTTATATTGTAATCATAGTTATTGTAATGTGTTGGGGTCAAAAAAAAATCCAAAGTAAAAATCGTCTTTATTTTTAAGTAAATTCTTATCTACCACCTCCATACCATATAAGAATAAACAAACATTACTTCCTTTAAGTAAAATTGAATTCCCACCATTTAGCCTCTCTGACAATTGTCAGGTTTGAAATCAAGCCTTCCAGGGTTCCCTTCTTTTAAAGGTGTGTAAGTTATATGTTGAGGCCTAGGTGCAAGAAAGAAAGGTATTAAGCCGAGAAACACCCTTTTTTCACTGTAAAAGGGTGCTTCTAGAATTTCTAAATCTTTCCATTTTGCCCCTGAGAAGACTTATATGTTAGTTTAAATCACCATTTTTGTTTAATTCTTCTAGATGATTAATGCAAATAATTTAAGAAGGATCAAATCATGAATATTTTTTATAACCTAAAAAAAAGAGGTACGAACAACCACACTTTTTATATAATATTGTTACCTCTGTGTTAATTTGGAAATATCTTTTTCAAACTTCAAAACAGATAATAGACTTCTAAAAATATGTGTGTATAGCATTGTCATTCTGAATAGTGGTTTCAAAGATTTAGTCATACCTGGGCATTTACTTTAGTCATTACTTCAGTAATTCCTACTGGATTTTTTTTCACCGACTCATTTATTTTTTTTAAGTTTAGTTTTGTCATGCATGGTGAGGCACAACTGTAATTCCAGACACTAGGGAGGCTGAGACAAGAGGA